TAAAGGCTGTTTATGCAAATAAGCGAGCCCGTTTGTCAACCGTATAGGAGTCTTTTTTAATAATTAGATTTTCAGGTAAAATTATTTTTTATTTAGTTAGAGATAAGTTTCATTTTGAAAGCAACTTTGTAAGCTATTGAACGTGCTATTGACTATATTTAGAATTTATGTTCTTTTTAACTCAAATCCTTTTCTTTTTCTTCTTATTTGGCGCTGTAAGCCCCTAAGCGATTTCATCCGAGTTTAACAAAGCGCGCCAGTCGTTTCTCTTCTGTGCAAACTGGCGCCAAGTGAAACCAAGTCCTTCTCCACCTGGTCTTTCTATCGCAGTGGGGGCCTACCTCTTCCTCTGCTACCACCAGCGGGTTCCGACTTTAATACTTTCAGAGCTGGAGGTTCGGTGCCCAATCGAACGACATGGCCAAACCAGCCGGGCCACTGTATTACTCAAATAGGCTCGGAAAATAAAAATTACGTAGAAAAATAAAAAAAACGCGGGAATTATATTATTTAAAAAGGAACGAGACCAAAAGAAGTGAAACAAAAAGCTAAAAGAAGAAGATTTTCTGATTAGATAATCAAAATCTATTGGAATTATTTGAAGTATTTTTCTAGTACTAAATATTATTATCCTTCAATTTGCACTCTCGAATGGTGCTATAAGATTTTTTCTCAAGAGTTACGTCCACTTTAACCTTCTTGTCCTCGAATCATACATCGCCAAACCAAGCATATGCGTTCTTCCAATGGCCATAGATTCTGAAGGAAAACTCGTAAAGCAACCCTCTAAGACGCATTTTGAATGGTAAGAATAGTACTAAATGTCTTAGAGTAAACAAAAGTGGCCATTAAAGCTTTTTTTCGTGTACTTAACCCCGGAAAACCTTAATATCTTGGCACAGTTGTAAGCTCCAGTTCGAGTTGTAAGCAGAAAATTACTTCTGAACCGACTTACAGCTGCACAGCAACAGAAGTCTGTATACATAATTATTATGTTCTTAATTTCATTGGATTACATGTCAAATCGCAAGTCTGCTTAATTCATGCTACTTATTGCACAAAACAGACTATACGTAGCTCTTGGGTTCCATCCCTAAGCTAAGAAACTGTGTACCAACTTTTGAAAACATTATGTAAGGAGAGCAGACTTTTTCGATAATATAAAGCAGCTTTTAAAAGAAGAAAAACTATCCGAAAGTTGTATTCTAGCGAGTTTAAGCGGGTTTTGAAAAGCAGCGGTAACCATCCGCGTTTTGGGCCATATGATCATTTTCTTTAATTTATAGAGTCGAAAAGAATTAGCACGATTCGTATATGTTTTCAATGAAGGCCTATAACGTATACGGTTGCCAGAGGTACTGATTTTATCAGTACAGTACTGATCTTTCAACTCTTGCACTGATTTTATTAATTTCATCAATCAGTACGCTAATGTCCTGATTTTTCAAAATTTGTACTGATTTGTACTGAATTTGCAATTCAAACAAAATACTTTATGATTTTCTTAAGGTTTTTACACAACGTTGAAACCTGCTTAAACTGCACTGTAAAAAGTAGGAGGCAAATAATTTAATTATAGTTGAAATATTTCAAATAATGTTTGATATGCCCAAGAAATTAATACAAGAATATCAATAGTTTTATGTGCATATCGCTGGGTCGTTACGTACCAGTTGCGATAATATGATGAGCTTAAATTATTTAAAAATAAGGCTGACGTTTTTTTGTCGAGTGTTGTTAGTTATCTAGAAAATATCTTTCAGTTTAATAACAGCAAATTTGAATATTCGAATGGCTTTTGCCTATAACTTAAGCTGCCTTTAGATGAGGCGATTTTTTGGGAGGCGATAAACGCCCGCAAAAGTTGACTTTCTGTCTACTTTAATTTTTTAATCCTCATTTACACGAGCGATTTTTCTTGAGCAATATTGAATCGCCTCATGTAAATTCAGCTTTACAATTGGTTTTTCTCAATTTACTGACATTATAAAAGAGTTTTGCATACAAGACATAGAGTTAGATACCTATTCTGTTTAGTAAATTCTTATGGTCTGATTATAGCAACTTAACGTAACTTACAGCTCTCTCTTAAAAATTCTGTTAAATGGGTGTTGCTTATAATTGAACAGCCGAAACTTAACGTAACTTAATGCCACGTCGAAATCTGTTTCATTTTGATTCTCTTAGTTCTACGTTCCGTTAAGTTAAGTTGCCATAATCAGGCTTTTGGTCTTTCCATGAGGATCTATAGAGGAAGTTCTTAAAAAGTAATACCTTTCCACAGTTTGAAAAAATATGTAAAATGAAGCAACTGAGAGGATCTTAAGTATAAGGTTTGTTTCCTTGCGCAAAGAGAGAAACCGGCTTCTGGTTAAAATTTTTAAAAGTGAACTTCAAATTAAAAGTATTTTTAAAATTAAATGTATATAATTCTTTTACTATTTAAACACTGAAGATGGAAATTATCTCAATTCAAAAATGTCATAAATATAAAATAACTCATTGGCTCCTGTGTACAATGATGTGTACACTCATGTTAAAATTAATAACATTTTTATTTATTATGAAATATATTTTAATTTTATACCAAACTATTGTTAAAAATAAGTACACTGGCGTTTTAAAGTATTATCTGTTACTTACATTCATAATTTCGCTTTGAATAAAAGTGTACTGAAAAGTACTTATTTTTTAGCATGAAAAATCTGGCAACCCTAATAACGAAGGAGCAATTACATTGTAAAAAAATAATAACAAGTTGTGGTTCTGATATTTCGGGCCCCTTTAAGAAGCCCGGGCCCGGGGGGATTCACCCCTTTTCCCCCTCCCTCTCGACGGGCCTGTACGTATGTATTTACTCATTGAATCTGGATGAATACGTGAATTTTATTATGATAATTTTTTCATGTTTGATGACCCCTAGTAAAATGTCATTCTTAAAAATTGTGTGGTACATTATAACCAAGGCCGAAAACAATAAGCAAGAATAGAAATATGCTTGCAAATATGCCCGATAAAAAAAAATGTTAGTGCATGGATTTAGTTATGACTTTTTTACTATTAATAAAAAAGGCAGTTTATATTGCTCAAAGATACGAACCACCGTACAGTTTCATAAGTAAAAACACTATCAGCTGATTGCCAAAAAAAGCCTACAGCTGGACCTCCTGTTTTTGGCATGTGCTCTTATCTATTACAATTTCTTTCATTTCTACTACAATTTCTTTTATTTCTATTACAATTTATTCAAAATGCACTAACACACTGAACCAAAAATACCAATACACCAACTAAAAACACACCTACAGCCTGCTAAAAACACACCTACAGCCTGCCAGAAAAAACGGTAAGAAGAATAGTTACTTTACTTATGGAACTGTACCATGATTCAATAATGAAAGGTTTTGTAAGAAAAACTTTCTCTCGCTCTAATTTTATCAATGACACTCCCACCCTACTCCTAAAAACAAAAAGAGTGATATTTCTTTTCCAAATTTCTTTGCAAGTTTTAAGAGTATTTTTAAATTGTTGGTAGTGAAATTTTTACTTTTTAAATTTGAAGAAATTTTTGTCCTTCATTCGCTGGCGCCAACAAGACAAAATGGGTGAGAATCGTTGGACTACAGAAATTCAATACAGGCTAAAGAGACGAAATTCCCTTAAATGCCGAAATGTATTTGTCGATTCTTGTGGAGACCTTTTGATTCTACCAAGTCGCTGTAAAGTAAAGCGTGCAATGGTTTTGGTAAATGAGCCAACGAAGGTATTTAGGTATTGTCCTCCACAACACAATCCTGGTGTCTCCGAATGAGACTTTGAAACGTCAGACTGCCTCTCAATGATTTTACCTTGTAATGTTTTTATCATGAAAAATGCTACTTACAAAACCTTTAATAATTGAATCATGGAACTGTACGATGATACGAACCCTTCATTTCTTTTCAAATGTGAATTTAATTTTTTTTATTATTCTCCATTTATATTCAACAATTCTCCATTTATGATAAATGATTAATATTCTCTTCAATAATAACACTAAAGCCTTCCCGTAGAGACCAACCTTTGGTTTGCAATTTTTATATCCCGGTGGAATGCAGTTGAAATTTGTTCAAGTGACTTGCGCCCACTTGAAGAATGCATCCCTGCGCATCCTTTAATCCCAAATGCATCCCTGCGCTTGCACCGAATTAAAGCACCCCTGCTTGAATATTCCAGTGTTAGCTATAGACAGGCTGCAGTTGCTTCCAGTGTAACCTATAAAGGCACTCTCCGCTTTGCCATTTTTCTTCTTTTTACCTCGACATCTGACCAGAGGACATCGCGGAGCCGTTCGTTAACTCAACCAACATTTGGAAGTTTATATATTTATCTACGCGGGAGTACATACCTCATCATGGAATTCCACCAGCAACGTAACACCTTAAATCTATTCGTATCCTATTATATTTTCATACCACCATTGCAATTTTGAATCTTTACTTGCGATATACTATACGGCTAACACCACCTTATTAAATACGCCTTGTTACTTGGAATTGTAAGAATAAACGGTTGTGCAACAATAATTTTGTGTTGAATATAATAAAAATAAAGTGAAGCGAAATTGTTTGTGTTGAAAAATCATGTGTTGAAAAATCATGTGTTGAGATAATTTATGTAGAAAAGTCATATGTTGAGTTAATGTGTTGAGTTGGTATGTGTTGAAATATCTTGTGTTATTTAGACCTGTTACCTAAATGGCGTAGTGCGATATAGAGTATTCTTCTGCCCATCTTATTGTTTGGGGCGCCTAAAATACAGGTCGCGAGCTAGTAGCCGCCCGCGAACTACCGGTTGGACAGCACTGGTCTATGGCATGATTCCAAAAAATTACTTTTGAAAAAAAAATTCAGAAAATTTGTTTTGGTTATTCATTATGTAAATTAATATATCAATCTAAAAATTATGGTTATTTTTGCATAACAGTTTTAGAGACACTCTTATTTTGTAGCTATACTCACGAATAATATCTCGTTTTGGACCGATATCCATAGAATTCCAACTGAAGGAAGCTGAAGACGGCCACAGCGTGTAACCGTCATGATGCTTACTGGTTAAAACCACATATCTGAAATAAAAATTAAGTTACTGTAAAAATGAGATTTGCATGCGTTTAATAATACATATGGGAGTATCTCAGGAAGTTTTGACTTTCAACATTTAAGAAAAATAAAAAATAAAAGTTTTTGCACACATATCTTGCCGATTTCACTTTATTCTTTGAACCTTGAAACATAAGTAAAACAATGAAAACTCAGTTTTCAAGCTCGGTAATTTTTTTCTAACCTCAAAAAACATGTCGAACTATATGTGACAGAATTTTGTTATAAATATTGACGGATCTACTTTTATCTGGATTTCAGACTCGTATTCAGTGACCCCAAAACATACACATTTTCTGATTTTTTTCGTGTTCCTGCTTAATTGCTTAAAATTTAGATATTTATGAAAACTTTTCCCTTTCTTGCTGCCTCCACAGGCAAAAGTTTTTATCTTGATAGTTTTATCAGGCAATATCTTGCCAATGGAGACCGCATATTGCTCTTGGTAAGCAATAATTATCAAAGCTTTTATCTTGATAAATATTGCCAGCAATTTGATAATTTGATCGCTACATTTTCATTTACGCGATAACTCCGTGGCGGCAACATTATTAATATTTTAAAATAACAGCAAAAATTTAGCTGTTTTCTATTAAAACATGTGTTCTTATGTACTTGGATGTGAAATAAAAAATTTTCTAAATTTTTTAAGTGATTGAATCAAGAAAAGCCATCTTACAAATTCTTTTATCAACATAAAACCTCAGTCCGTATAGTCCGTACGCGCGGAAGAAGTTAAACTTAATAGAGGAAATTCCAGAAAGAAAGAGATGTGCGATATATATACATACATACACATGTACATATCTTCTAATATACAACATACATATTTATTTTATTTTTTTAATGAGCTTTAACTTTTCATTTTTATAACCAACTGCTAAATAAGATTAATTTTAATTTGTGGCTGAGAATATATACATATCTCTACAATATTAACTAGTGAGTTGTGGTAACTAAAGTAAGATATGAAATGTTTTATTTCAATATTATTAATATTTCCTCCTTGGGTTGTTCGATCATTTCAACCATAAACCATTTCCAATGAAAAATTTTTCTTCGAAAATTGTTGTCAAATCACCAGATTCGACCAGCGAAAAGTTGACATTAAAATCTCCTGCGAGAATTACATCAACATCAACCCTTTTTACCTTAAAAATTGACTTGCAAAAAAAACCGAAAGAGAAATGTTTATTTAAATATTCGCTCAAAACGTAAATTTCGAAAGAACTGTAATTTTTGGTAGGAGGTACTGCAAGCTTGACTAAAGGACTGTAATTTAAAGTTAGAACTATGAATCTGGCAACATTGGTTACAACGCACAATGTAATATTCCCAAATGAGTTGTTCCTGAAAATAGCAAACGTGCTGCTATTTAGGTGAAATTTTCTACACAGATATTTTTCTTTCATTGAAACTTTTATAAATGTTTTGACTTTCCACTTGATTCAGCCCGTTCGTGTCATACCCCATTGGTGAATTTATGCATTCCATTTCTTTATTCACACATTTAGCAGTTAAGTACATATATTTACAAATAATTTTTGTAATTTTGTATTAAAGCTCATTTTTCTATCACAAAAAGCCAGTAAATGACTTCTGAAAGCTTTACGTTTCTGTTTCAATATCACGTTCACGCGGAAAGTGTTTGTGCAAAGAAGTAGTTACAATTTTAAATCATTTGCAATGGCCAGTTAAATGGCTAAGTGATTTTGGAAATTATAATCTGTTTTAGGGCTAATTTATTTATATGCGCGTATAACAAAATTAGTATTAAGAGTAAGTAGTAGTAACTGATTCTGGTTAAATATTCCGATTAAAATTAGGTGCGCCTACTAACTATACTTACTAGTTTCCTTTTGATGCAACTTAGCTATTTCGTAACAGAAAGTGAAGGAAATAATAGCATTCATCCAGAAACTATTTTTATATTTTTTTTTTTTTTTGGTATATAATGTAAAGCCTACGCCCATTTGAAATAAATATCTCATCCGTGAAAAAGCTTACCGCCGCCTCGGCGATATCGGCTTCTTAATTTCTTGTCGTACATGTCGTATGAGTGACCTGAGTAGTTTAAACCGCATAAACGTAAGTATTCTGCCGCAAGGCTGTTTATTCAGTATATTGAACGCAGTTATTTGCGTGATAACAAACAGCGTTTGTATACTAGGAAAAGCTTCACGCAACAAGCTGTCAATACCTCTCAGCAATCATAGCTGCTTGCTACTCGTATCACTGCTGGTACATTAGCTGTCGTATAAAATGGAAGTGAATGGACCCAACATGAACAGATTCTCATTTAAGATTGTAAAAACTTCCACTTTTCTTTGCGTAAATAGCTGTGAGGTGAAACAATTTTAATTCGTTTTCACTGCATGCACATGGGTATCATTTATTTACTATATGAAGCAGCAAAACGTAAAATATAATTTATAATATTATTTTAATTAGATTTTCTATTCTTAATTTGCAGGTAAATTTTAATTTCCCCAAATAGCTTATTAGTGCATAAATATATGTGCGACTCGTTTTCCTTTTTGAAGTGAAGCTTCTTTAGCGGCGGTGGGTTGGTTGGGAGTAAATTGGCAAATTCAACGGAAATTGCACACGGAAATGGTTGGGACGGAAACAAGTGCTTCTTGAATACATGTTATTAATTTAACAAAAACTTGCTAAGTGAACACTTTACTTATATAAGGGCAAAGGTGAAGGGGAATATGTAGATGAAGAAAATGATAAACAAAAAAGTAAAAACAAAGATAAATATGAAGAAAAAGATGAGGATGAGGATACCGTTAAAAGAAAAGATGAAGATAGAGGAAGAAAGATTAAAATAAAGGTAATTATAGAGAAAAGGATACAGATAGAGGCACAGAGACTCAATCTGGGAAATATATGGGATTTTAGAGACATTCGAGATTGTCGGGACTTATCGATATAATAATCGATATTTTTATCGGCCTTGTTATCGATTATTTATCGACTTTGTTATCGATATTTTTATAAATTTTCTAATCGATTTTTGTTATGGATTTTCTTGTCGATTACTTATCGATATTTTTGTCGATACTGTTATCGAGTTTGTTATCTATATTTTTATCGATTTTATGATCGATTTTGCTACCAATGTTATCGATTTTTCTATCGAAATTTTTATCGATTTTGGTATCGATTCGGTTATCGATTTTCTATCTCGGAACTTACCGATGTAATAATCGATATTTTTATCGATTTTCTTATCGTTTTTTATCAATGATTTACCGATTTGGTTATCAATTTCGTTATTCATATTTTTATCGATTTTGTTATCGATATTTTTATCGATTTTTCAATAAATTTTTTATCGAGTTATTGCTTCGCCATGTGAGCCGGTGAATAAAACACTTATTTTCAGCTTCTGTTCTTTATTTTAGAAAGACTAAGACCGAGCTAAAATCTAAAGTTCCAAATGTTATTGAGAATAATACAATTTCCATCAAATTACTTACACTTGTGCACATCCGGCACACTAAACGAAGCAAGCAATAGAACAATTTGATAGCAAATGATTTAAATTACAAATTCAAA